AGGACGTAGAATAAACTTGCTGTATGTCACATACTAGGGGGGGAGATGCCAAGTGATTGATGAGAGCTTTCCTGTGAAAATTCCTTTCCGAAATAAACATTGCTGCACGGAATTGTCGCCGGGAGATGCAGTATCAAAATCAACGAGCCCAGAGCCTCATGTCGACAATCGCTCAACAGCCACCCAGAGTATTTACCGGACTGTGAGCATCATGATATGTCAGTTCGCCATCATGATGAAGTATGGTGCATCCCACGTTTTGGCAAGAATCGGTGCAAAGAATATCATTTGAAGCTTATGCCGATTTTGCCCTATCAGATAGATATTGCAGAGAATCTATGGCAATGTCCGAACTTGGGTACGTTGAGCATTGTAATTCTCGTCGACGGCCTGAACGAACATTGCAGATTCATGATGGTAGCCTCAGTGTATGTAAACACATACCATGAAGACCGCACACGTGGTGGGTACCGCCCCAGGAAGTCTCAAAATCACTTACGTCACGATCCCAAGTGTTGCGCCTCCGAGAGACTCATGTCTGGCAGTAGCACCCCGAAAGCTTGATGGTGTTCATACAGCTACGTCGTTTATGTGATTGGCTGCTTGTGCACTGCTCAGAAGCACTGAGTACTAATTAATGATTCCTGAATTGATGAACAAGGCTGGACAACGCACACTGGTCTGCCATAAGTTATGGCTATTTATGATCGAGATGTCGTAGGAAATCCTGATCATTATCAAGCTTGGCGTGATGTTGAAGCGATGTGTTTCACAACTGATGATCATTGAGGGTGAAAGTTAAGTATAACGTTAAACAGCTTTGGGTTGGGGGAAAAGCGATATCGCGAATTACGTTGGTATAGATAGTTCAACCGAAGAAGTTCAACACGGTCCAAGATCAAACTTGGATCAAACCTTCAATAGCCTTACAACGACGATCACGCACATCCGAGTCATACCAAGACCACTGTCACAGTGGTCTTGGTGGTGGGGCCCGGGTCGAATACAAGCCTACTGTGCAAGTCAGTGCTCAGGCTGAGCTCAGCGTTCATCGACATCATCGACCATTTGGCAACTCGAGATTTTCCATCAACATTTCGAGATCGCGGTGCACCGAAACATGGACATTAATGCAAGATGAATACTAGCTACTGTTCATACAATGGTCTGCTTCTCTTTCTTTCTCGCATTCCACTGAACCAACTCGCATATAGGAAGTACAAGGTATAAACGCGACGACGAGCACAAACATCGCAGGTGCTACTCACGCTTCTACATTCAGTATTATGCCACCAGAGCTAGAGCAGACGCTCAGCTTTATTATCATCGCATCGTTCTGTCCTCGGATACCTCCTCCTTTCGCGTGGGGACCATGTCAGTATCATACGCCATTCAGGCGTCGTCTTTGAGGGAGAGCAAGGGAAGAAGTACGCAAACGTTATAGGCAAGATGGTTGAGAGTGTGCAGGCAGGCTTGGAGGAAGTGAGCGGGTCAGAGAACGATGGGGTGCGTAAGCAAAGTATCTGATCTGATCCCTTATTTACACGTCGTTTCCGGGACCAGATTCGCTTCATGAAAATACGGACTAAACGCCATGAAATCATGATTTTGCCAGGTTGGTGCGGATCTGCGTTCGATGATGTCTATACTCACTCCACATTGGCAGATGAAAAATATCTTCTCGCGGTGTTGCATAACCCCGCTTCATGAATCTACCATATCTCCCATATCTGTGTTTTTTTTTTGATTCCAATTTATGTCCTATTGAGAGTTTACTCTATGGAGGACAGTACTGTCTAGTCTAGTCTAAGGGCCCCCAGTGCCCTGGTTGCATCTCCGAATCCGCGAATGCCCTGATGTGGGACGATATCTGTGTTTATCTCACGACTGTATCGGTAGGATCTCGCGATCCAACGCATCTCTCATAATGGTGGACTTGCTCATTTATTTTGCATTGTCATAGGCAGCGGACTTGGCCCCCAAACTTCATGGTATATTCTTGGCACCAGGCTACTACACTCCTCCACGCGTATCATACTACATTGCCTGAGTGAACGTTCTGGCGAAAACAACCATATTACTACTGAGACTCGGGAGGCAGTGAGAAGAAGAACCGGGCTCACCCCAGGCACTGTGCATTGAGACACAGTAAGTAAGAACCATGTTCACTCTTTCCTCTCATGTGCAAGTGCCAGACAGAGCACCAGTCACTGTGCAGCAATCCAAACAGCTGCATGCCACAAAACTTTGAATTGTGCCGTCTGATCCACAATAATACAAGAACGAGTTTTCGTTGTTAAAACCTAGGAGAAGTCCGCACCCCAGTTTGTCTGCGAGCAACCGTAAGCACGTTGTCTAAGGTCCACACGTCCAGAACACGTTAGGCTGCAAGAATACTCACCAATTTTTTTGCAGGCTCCGCCGATGGGGGTGGTGTCAGATGCGCTGGTGCCAGCTATCACCGCGGCAGACATGATCAAAGTGGCGAGTGAGATATATTTCATAGTTGCGATCTAAGAGAGGGCTGAGGCTTGATGGTTTTTTTTCTATTGAGTCGGAAGCTAGTACGTTGATTTTATACACATATAGTATAGGGAGCAGCTAAAACATCCATCTAGTTCGTCCGATACTCGCACGATTGGATGTCCCTCGATCTCTGAATCCGAAAGTGCGGTCAGGGTGCTCCCACCTAGGTGATGGTACCTCTTGACATGACCTCCGATGAAGTTGAACTCGCGATAGAAATTCTGTAAGAATGCGAAGATCCCCCTGCCCGACGATCTCCTAAACGACCAACTTCTGGTCGAATTCTTGCTCGCTTTCCGAGTCACCGGATGCGTTTGCATTAAGACCACGCATGTATCCAGTCAATTCCCTCGTATCTATGGGGAACTGCCACAAGTTGGCGGCGACTAAGTAACGTACACCATAGTGGAATCTCGTGTTGACGGTGAAATCGATGATCCAGATATTTGCCAAAAGTTGTGACCGGAGGAAATGGATAGCCCTGAGCTCCACGGTGCAACTCCCGATTTCAGTGGATTGTGGTGCTACACAATCCCAATGTACGAACCGGTGGTAGTTGAAGGCGAAGATCATGCTGGCGGCGTTACTGATGATGAGATGTGAACGGTCTATAGGTTTTCCCGTATGGGACTTGGGTATTACGAGCTGGCGGCTGAATAGGGTGGCCATGCATGGGGACTTACCAGGAGTTACCAGGTGACGCTAGGAACTTTATGTACACAATGACCGTGCATCGGCTGTGCTTCAGCTCGCCATTCCTTGAAGACAGATTCCAGTGGGGAACTCCCGCCCGTTCGTCTCCGCTTCCCTTTTCCTGGCTGACATTTCTACTCGACTCACAGCTCGTCCTCAGATTAATATAGCAGGCCCCTCCATCTCTAATACCAGTGACACCATCACGAAGGGCACCTGGACCCCCGTCCACGAAAGCTCTGCCTCCGCTACCAGCGCGAGCGCTTCTTATACATTGCCTGGATGAACGTTATGGAGAGAACAACCACATCAGCACTGGGACTCAGGAGGCAGCGAGAAGAAGAACCGGGTTTGTGAATCTCCCAAATATTCTGGAACACATCAGAAGGAAAGACCTTTGTACTATTGATCATCGCTGTGCATACTTATCGCCTTGGTATGGTGTTCTTTTGTGACGGTTCGAGGTAAACTAGCACCCAAGTACCACCATACCAAGGCGCCTTGGGCTATTCTATCTGTTAGAGACGCACTCGGGCAACGATAGAATCCGTTGTAGAGTCGACTAGAAAATTTTACACGGAGGCAAATGGAAATGATGCAAGGCAATTGGTGGAGACCGTTTGGAGTTGGTTTGGCATCAAGTTGTTTGGGATTGTCCGTCTCAGAAAGTCAAAGATTTGGCAACTTCCGGGCTTGTCTATGATAGATCTCTTTGGATCCTCTGAGTTTGAAACAGCCGGTGAGTTGCTGTTTCCTAATCTCCAGTCTCGGCAAAGTAATCTGTTGAACTGGAGAAATTTACGAGATATAAGTATGTGTAGAGGGAATAAAGTAACCAGGGTTACACGGAATTTCGTGTAGCCAGAACTACATGTACTTACTTCATGCGAGCTCTACTGTGTCATACTACTAACGAAGCCTCAAATTCATCCATCAAGTGCGTGAAGCCGCGCGAGAAAGTTGTTACTGGGGAAGAACCAGAAGTTCATGCTCAAGACGTTACGCCGATGCATGCAGCAGATCAGGAGGCAGAACCCTTGATTAAGTGATCAGCTCTTTCCGATCGAGGTATAAAGCGACACTTGAAAGGCTTAGGTCGGCTTATTCGTGTTTGTCAATAGAACATCTTCTGAGAGTAATGGCATGGCATACCTGAGCAGAGAGGCAGTGTACACAACTTCTGGCACAATCTCGAGGCCATTCTCATCAATGGCTCTCTCAATTGAGTACACGGATAGAATGCACGCTATTGAAAACCAAACAGATTCGTACGCCAGCCAGCGTCCAGGACACATCCTGAACGAAGTGAATAATTTTGGCCAAATGAAAATATTTGTTGTGACAAACCGTCTGCCAAAGCCGAAGGCTGGCCAAGGAAGTTTATTGATACCAAGGTCCTCGTTCCTTGCTTGGTCCGAGAAACGCTCAGGGGTGAAAGTTAATGGATCCGGATAAACATCAGCGTCGTGAAGGATTGCCCTACAAACTATAAGCTTCACCGTTTTTGATCAACATTTGACTTACCAAATGTTAGGCAAGACTGCGGTACCGCTGGGAATAAAATAACCGTTGTACTCATCATTTGAAGATACAAAGTGAGCCACCCCCATAGGGAGCACTGGGTTCCATCGTAGACATTCCCAAACAATACAGTCAATGTATGGCAGTTCAGATCTGTCGGCAAACAGTTGGCAGGCGCTCCATGGCAAGAACATTATCAAGTTCTTTTTGCGCCCGTTTTTGCACTTCGGGGTGAACCAGCATCGCCAAGACGAATGAAAGCAAGGTAGAAACCGTCTGCAAATCAGCTCAGTGGGTACCAGAGAGCTAGTGGATATTGCAGCAAACCGTATCTGCACCAGCTAAAATGGACTCAACATTGACATGTCCTTGTGCAAGCAAAAAAATTACCAACCTGCATAGGAGATACCTGCAACATTTTTAATCGTGGTCTCATAGTCAGGATCCGGATTTGCACTCTTTTGCAACTCCTCCAGTTCCTTCTGCGCTAAACATGTAATGGAAGTGCCGTTCGCCATGCGTTCCCTCACTGCCTGAAATGGTTGGTCGACCATGGCCCTGGTCATTTTGCGCCATATCAGTGCTCGACGCTTGAAATTCGCGCCCGGCATGCATGCGGGAACGTATTTCACTGCCAGCATGAACTCTAGTCAGTGCAATTGATTGCCACTCGTGTGGTTAACTTACAAAATGGTAGGTAATCAACCCAAAACGAGCCAAATATGCCTGCCATGCCAAGGCCCTGCATTGCTTCGTCCGCCAGCGTCACGTAAATGTCACCTTGGCCCGAAACTTCATGTCCGTATGAGATTCTCATAATGATAGCTGCAGCTGCGCAGCGCAAGTGGTGAGCAAAGTCATCCGGTGTATTGGCCAAATTTCGAAGAGTTGTATAGGTTTCCTTTACTACGACTGGGTAATAGTTGGACGTCTGTTGCCTGTGAAAGTGACGATGGAAGAGCGATCTGTCTGAGGGAGCGAAGTTGCATTTTTACATGCCTATGCTGAAATGACCACGCACGTTGTTTCCACCTGCTCCCATACGGCATCGACGAAAAGAGCCAATCCCATCCCATTCTGCGGCTCTCAGTCACGACTCACGTATCAGCAATCGATCCATAATGGCACTTACAGTTCGACTACCATAGTTCTGATGGGCCTGTGGTTTTCCATTAGACTAATTATCTTGAAACCAACAAGTCGATCGCGAGATGGATATAACTTACCTCGAAGAATAATTTTTGCTCCGCCGCTCAAGAAGGTCTTCTGCTACCTGTGCCGAGTTGATGACAATGATGGGGTTACCCAGAATGTAGACATATATGAGGTCGCCTGTAAACATAAGTTTCCATAGGCGTTACCTCTAGTGCTCCATGTGTCCTACCGTATGATTCTTTCCACTTCGCATAATGAAGCCACTGATAGCTAGTTGGCAAACTAAAATTCCCAAACCAGCCTGTGGGAGGACCAGGCGGTAGACGTCTTCCCACGGAACCAAGCCATGTGCGTAGAAGAAAACATGCCAATGTGAGCAGGGTAAGAAGAAAGATTGAAAAATCAACCAAGGGTGACGGCGATTTCATGCTCTACTAATGATAGTAGGTAAGAGAGCCTGACAGGAAGATACGTACGCCTCGTCAGGTGTTTTGCCTTAACCAACACTTGACTTGATTGTAACCAAGGGGTACCCGCTCAGGAAAAAATGTACATCCAGAGACCCTTCCCTTCCGTGGAACTTTCCACGCCTTAGGGGTATGCCAAATTTAGTAATTTTCGATACTTTGTGACGAGCAACGCCAACGCATTGTGTGACGTGTCAAGTCTGCAGGTCATTTTCACCTCAATTAGTGTCTATCATTACTCCCTTCAATCACAGATATTTTTCATGCACTAATATACGTTTGATGCTCAGACATATGTTTAAACTCGACAAGGAGCCACGCCAATAAGACCAAACTGCCTGCTGTCGCTGTTTCCTGCACCATTTATATCAGTAGTCTCCAGTCTTCGCAAAATAATCTGTTGAACTAGAGAAATTTACGAAAGATAAGTAGTATGTATCGAGGGAATAAAGCAACCAGGATTACACGGCGGAATGGGGAATCGATCGAGTCTCAAATTAAATACCTATATGAACAAATACAATCTGTTGTTCGAGTGGAATCTTCTTGCGCAACGACTTCACAGCCTTGTGCAACGCTACCGCAGCGCGTGTGCAGTCCAATCTCCCCGAATCATCAACCAGATGATCATAAAACACAGAAACAATCTGGCGCGCAACGTCGTCATCGACAGTCCACATAGAACCGATGACACTGCGAAATCCAGAAAATTGCATCGCTGCAGCGAGATGGATGGCTTCATCTGGGTTGGTCTCATCGCCCACGGTGGTGTGGCACGCTGATAAGAACGCAAACTCCGGATTCTGCAAGTGGGATCGGATGATCTCCCTGATCGTCAAAGGCCCGTCGCGCATTGCGAAGGAAGATTCAAATGGTTCCTTTTTATTTGGCATTCCGTGGCAAGCCAGGTGAAGCCATTGAGTATGGCTTAACATGTCGAATGCACCCTGGACTGTTGCATCGCTGTCCTTGAGGGATGTGAAGGAAGCGACGGATGCGAGACGCTGAGCGACGACGGCTAGCTCGGGAGCGACATGTTTGAGTTCTTTCGCTCCGCCCGGGTTTGCTTGACCAATAGCAACAAAATGTTGCTTGGACGCATCTGGAGAAAGCTGCTGTCTCGCACGAATGAGTGTTGCCAAAGTGGGAGTGTAAGAGGAGATGTAAAACTGAGACACATTTCGGATCTTCTTCTCGTAGGGTCCTGCCGCATGTAGAGGAAGCAGAGTGAACTCAGCGGTGGGACACCACCAAATGCGTGAACCAGGATCAATCAACTCCTTGAGAACTTGAAGCACGGGGTCAACAACGGAATTCCAGAGTGTGCGCAGGGTGTTCACAATCTCGTATAATTCAAGTTGATTATCAGAAGAGCCGAAATTCTTCGCGAGGGACTGGAACTCAAAGGACAACTCGGAGACTTCGATCTGTGTGATATCAAGTGGAACATGAATGGGATCTCGGGCACTTGTGACAATTATAGCATCACAGCTGTACTTGCTCGAGTTGACGATGATGACCGGACCATTTTCCGCCGCCTTCTGCAGGTCAGAAAATAGCGGGTGTAGGAGGAAGCGGGAAAAATCAGGTAGCAGGCGGATGCGTGAAATGACGTCGTCCCATTGCATGGTCAGTTGCCGGATTTCTGCGGACTGGTCTTCTGTAGTGTCATCGAACGCGTTACGAAGGCGGAAGCTGAGTTGCTTGAACTCTGCCGCCAAGGCTGCGCCGGTGTCACCGGACACGGAAAGTTCATCCAGTGGCATGCGGTAGCGTGCCAAGTGGGTCCAGAATACTGCGCGTCCTTGCTCCAATAATTCCACAGCAGTCATCAAAGAACCGCGACGAACACTGCACGAGAAAGCATCCATGGCAAGGCATGATACAGCCTCCTTGACTACATCGAAGTGGCGTGAGGATGACGATAGAGCGGCAACGCGCTGATCGAGGAATCGTAATGTGGTCTGGTAGGCCATCAAGGCAGAGCTATGGTGGTGCTGCTCGGCAGAGGTCACCCATGACTTTGCAGCCTTAAGGTCACCACGAGATCCTGCATGAGATACTTGGGAGAGTTGCAAATAAAAACCAAAGGCCTCGTCTAAGTCTGGTGATAGACCCAGGTGCTGAAATCTTTCTTGAAGCCCGTCAGCAAGGCTGCTGAGAGAACTGGATCGATGAGAATGACCAGGGGGACGGAGCTCCAGTGCAGCCCTATGGAGCTTAACGGCCTCATCAAGGTCAGATGATACGCCCCCCTGCTTGAATCTGTCATAAAGGCTGCTGGCAAGGTTGTTGAGACACGTAGACCTGATCAGAATGACCAGGGGGGTGGAGTCCCCAGTGCAGCCTGCTGCAGCTTAATGGCCTCATCAAGGTCAGACGAGACGCCCCCTTGCTTGAATCTGTCATGAAGGCTGGTGGCGAAGGTTGGTGAGAGACGCAGATTGATCAGAATGGCCAGGGGGGTGGAGCTCCAGTGCAGCCCGATGGAGCTCAATGGCCTCATAGAGGTCAGATAGGATGCTCCGTTCCTCGAATCTATCATGAAGGCTGGTGGCAAGGTTATTGAGAGACGCAGGTCGAAAAGAATGGCCAGGGGGGTGGAGCTCCAGCGCAGCCCGGTGGAGGGCAATGACCTCATCAAGGTCAGACGGGACGCCCCGCTGCTCGAATCTGTCATTAAGGCTGCTGGCAAGATTAGCGAGAAACATGGCTCGACGAGAGTGGCCAGGAGGATGGAGCTCCAGTGCAGCCCGATGAAGCTCGATGGCCTCATCGAGGTCAGACATGACACCCCGCTGCTCGAATCTGGATAGAAGGCTGATGGCAAGGTTGTTGAGGGTTGAGGGTCGATCAGAGTGGCCAGGGGGACGGAGATCCAGTGCAGCCCGATAAAGCTCAACGGCCTCATCGAGATCAGACAGGATGCCCAGCTGCTCGAATCTATCATGAAGGCAGCCGGCAAGGTTATTGAGAGACATGGGTCGATCATAGTGGCCAGTGGGATGGAGCTCCAATGCAGCCCTATTGAGGTCAATGGCCTCATCAAGGTCAGAAAAGATGCCCAGCTGCTCGAATCTGGCTTGAAGGCTATTGGCAAGGTTAATGAGAGAACTTGATCGAAGAGAATGGCCAGGGAAATGGAGCTCCAGTGCATCCCGATGGAGCTCGATGGCCCCATCCAGGTCAGCCAGGACTCCCTGCTGCTCGAATCTGTATAGAAGGGTGATGGCAAGGTTGTTGAGAGACAATGATCGACCATCATGGTTAGGGGGACAGAGATCTAATGCAGCCCGATGGAGCTCGATGACCTCATCGAGATCAGACAGGCTGCCCTGCAGCTCAAATCTGCCAAGAAGGCTGTTGGCAAGGTTACTGAGAGACATGGGTCGACCAGAATGGCCAAGGGGACGAAGCTCCAGTGCACCCTGATAGAGCCCAATGGCTTCATCGAGGTCAGACGGGACGCCCCGCTGCTCGTATCTGGCTCGAATGCTGATGGCAAGGTTGGTGAGAGAGATATGTCGATCTTCATGGCCAGGGGGACGGAGCTCCAGCGCATCCCGATGGAGCTCAATGGCTTCATCGAGTTCAGACAGGACACCCCGTTGCTTGAATCTGTTATAAAGGCTGTCGGCAAGATTGCCGAGAGCACTGGCTCGAAAAGAATGGCCAAGGGGACGGAGCTCCAGCGCAGCACGATGGAGGTCAATGACCTCATCAAGGTCAGACAGAATGCCCAACTGGTTGAATCTGTTTTGAAGGCTGATGGAAAGGTCTTTGATAGTTATGGATCGATCATCATGGCCAGGGGGACAGAGCTCTAGTGCAGCCCGATAGAGCTCGATTGCCTCATCGAGGTCAGACAGGATGTCGGCAAGGTTGCTGAGAAATGTGGCTCGATCAGGATGGTCGGCGGGACAGCGCTGCAAGGCTGCTCTACACTCATCCACATGGTCTGCTATGTCACTGGGGAGAGATAGCACCTGCGACATCTCACTATCAAGTGTTTCACTAATCAATACACAATCCAGCGAGACGAGGCTGAATACGCACGGAACGAGCAGAAACTCGAGCGCTGGAACAACAGGGACTTGTGAGGGAGACCCGCACCCTTACAAGTTACAACAGCTCGACACCACAGCCTGTATTGTCAGGGATGATGATTAAAAATTCTTGGCGTTCTTCCTCCCCTCAACAACCGGCTCAGTCCTGACGCCTCTACTTTTCAGATCCGACTGATAAGCGCTTGAGCAGTGCCACTCTCGCTGTTTTCACGGACTACGGACAAAGAAATACTACTGTAAGCAAGACAGACAGAAACCTGTTGAAGACGTGCCCGCAATCACTAAACACAAAGGATGTGGTACGAGGGAAGATCATGGGCACTGAAGAACTCACTTCAAGTATGAATATGAAAGTTCCTAGTATGCATTATGATAGTGTCCCATGGTCAGACCCAATAACAAAAGGATCGAAGATGATAGGCAGAGCGTTTACACTGCCACTGTATAAATGAAACTTCTCAAGTATTCTCTTGCTGCCGTCATGCCCGTCACTACTGCCTGAATTCACACCCACGGATGCGATGGTGTCATTAGCGGTGGGAACATACGGAACATCTCCAAGTCCTTGTACCATACAGACATCGTACAACTCCTCGTAATTCGCTATTCACTATGAAGCAGCAACCGCAAGAAGGACCAATGCAGCTCGACGTCAAAAATTACCCCGTCGCACCAGAAGGGCTGGACCTGGAGCAGGTGTACATATACGTGAGGCACGGTGCGTGAATTCGCGTTCAACTTTGAATGTTGTTGCGTCATCGCTCATACCTGACTTTAGGCGAACGTACGCCCGTCAGAGTGCGCATGTCTGATCCTCCAGCGTCCATACCAGCAGACTGGCAGATGTGCAACACTGCGAAAAGCTTCCACGAGACTGTAGCTGGATATAGTTCTACCGTGGATGATGGGTTGTGGTATAAGCAAGTGGTTGAGAACAGGCTTGGCAAAACAGCCGAAGGTTTATGGTAAGCTGATCTGCGTATTTGATTATCCGTGATGCGCATAGTTTAATATGAAATGTAGTCTCTTAGGGGAGCTCACGGATATTGGAAAACAGGTGAGGGGGTTCTATACGAAATTCGATTGCTTGGCTCAAGCATCTGGCAACAGTCCACGTATGCTTTTGGCGCGGCATTGCGAAGTCTCTACATAGACAGGTAAGCAAGCCACGAACAGCTTCTTGATTTCATCTCACACGAAATGTGTAATCGCGTCTTTCTGAAGATTGAAATTTTCTCCCTCAAAAGCTCGAAGATGAACGCTTGACTTACTTCCGGTAAATTCATCCATCTTCAAGTTGGGCCCGTCATTGAACCTCAGCCACACGCAGGTCTACGAACATCGCGCGGACGATCGAGTCCCTACAGCACATAGTCCACGGAGTATACCCTCCATCCGCTTGCGCTCCAGATACCATACCCGCCATCATCATTCGGTACGTTTTCGGACGGTTCACACAGATCAAGCTTGAATTCGTGATGTTTCTGATTTCAGTAATGGGATCGACGAGAATCTCGTCAGCAATACCTTAGCCTGCAAGCGACTGGCGATTCTAGAATTACAGTTTGCACAAGGTAACTACTTGTCTTCGACCATCATTCCGCAGATTTGTCTGATTTCTTTTCAGCTGCGGTTGCTACTTGGAACTCGCGATTAGAGCCCTTGGATAAAAAGGTCTCCAAGTATATAAGCGGCAAACCGTTACGCCTTGATGGAATTCCTCGAGCGTCGGGGATTCTTGATACGGTATGTCGTTTAGGACTGAATAAGCAATTGAACTCAGTGCTTCTCGGAAGGTACGCTCGGCAGCTGCTCACGGGTTCAAGGTTCCACCAGAATTTTCGGATGATAATGTCATTGGTTTAATCGTGCGTTAATTTCTATCTGTCATCGCTTTCTCCATAGCTCATCCACGAGTCCCCAGGAAGCAGCTGTAACAGCTGAGTGGTTTAATAGTAAGGACCTAGTCCATTCTACACCTTTATACGGGTACTGACCGCCGTCTTCTAGTTTGTAAGAAACCTTCCTTCCATTCACACAATTTCGACCAACATTCTTCTAATCGAACGTAGTCAAATCAGAAGAAGGCCGCCGTCTAGGAATGGGCCGCCTCCTGTCAGACGTCTCCCAAAAAATGCACAACAAAGCCCACCCCAACCTCACTTCTAAATCCGAAGACTCTGCAAAGCTCCTTGTGCACACTACGCACGACTCGACGCTTGCAGCGTTGCTCTGCACATTCGATGTATTCGATGACAAGTGCGTTCCCACACTTTCTTGCACTTTGTCCTTGTCTTGATACTAACTTGAATGATGGTGCTCATCGTCGTATGTACTATGTAGGTGGCCACCGTTCACTTCATCAGTAACATTCGAGCTCTTCCGAAAACGAATCCCGCCTTCACAACAAACCAATCTCCAGCGTGCGCTTTCGTCAGTTTGGAGACGCGACGAGCATTGTGAGTCCCAAAACACGCTCTCAATGATGACCCTCGATGACTCTCACTCCCCTTTCTTACCCCTCGCAGACGTCCGTATGCGCTACAAGAACAAAAACATGGTTCTCCCTATGTGTGCCTCCGAGGGAAAGCATCTACCTGGTTCGCCAGAGTTTTGCACTCTGGATGCGTTTCGGAAGAGGGTGGATGAGTTGACGCCTAGGGATTGGGTTGGGGAGTGTTTTCCGAGGACGTGAACTGATGCTGGCATGTTGCTTGGTATTTATTATTTACCCTTGCTTTTGTGTGGAGAGACGATCTAAATTTTGTGTGTTGGTAGTTGGCTTTGTTATAGAGACGCCTCGACGCCTCGCTGGACGAGAAATAGACCATATCCGTACCCTCGACTGACCTGCTCACTTCCATGCTCCTAAGACTTCACCCTGTTGATACTTAAGTTTGACCTATAAGTACCACCTTCCTTTTTATTGGGTCTGCCTATGGTGGGGCTCTGGACGTCATGTTGACGGTCCCTAGATCATGCAAGAGTCGAGTTGTCGAGTTTTTTTCGGGAGGGAATCTCTCCTGCTACTCCGAGGGAGCCAGAATCATCACTAACCTGAATGTTGACGAGGAAAATATGACCAGGACGCAAGGCACTACGTGCGTGTAGGGATCAAATTGATCTGCTCAACTGCAGTGAAGTAACACAAAAAAGGCTTTTAAGACGGAAAGAAGTTGCACGTGAAGATCTAACTACTATAAAAAATGTGCGTCTGTGAGGGTGTGCAGGAGTGGTTCGAGATGTCAAATCGATGAGGAGAAAGACAAGAAGACCAGCGGGAAGGGTGGGACTCAGAAAGTATGCCAGACGGAACGTTCGGGAAAAATACCACATATAAATACCGGCTGTACTACTAGGTATCAGAGGAGGGGC